CGTCCCTGTACGATGACCTGTCTACATCAATACGTCCCTGTACGATGAACTGTCTACATCAATACGTCCCTGTACGATGACCTGTCTACATCAAAACGTCCCTGTACGATGACCTGTCTACATCAATACGTCCCTGTACGGTGACCTGTCTACATCAAAACGTCCCTGTACGATGACCTGTCTACATCAATACGTCACTGTACGATGAACTGTCTACACTGTCTGTACATCAATACGTCCCTGTACGATGAACATCAATACGTCCCTGTCGATGAACTCACATCAATACGTCCCTGTAACGTTCCTGTACGATGAACTGTCTGTACATCAATACGTCACTGTACGATGAACTGTCTACATCAATACGTCACTGTACGATGAGCTGTCTACATCAATACACCCTGTACGATGAACTATCTGTACATCAATACGTCACTGTACGGTGAACTGTCTACATCAATACGTCCCTGTACGATGAACTGTCTGTACATCAATACGTCACTGTACGGTGAACTGTCTACATCAATACGTCACTGTACGATGAACTGGTCTGTACATCAATACGTCACTGTACGATGAACTATTTGTACATCAATACGTCACTGTACGATGAACTATCTGTACATCAATACGTCACTGTACGGTGAACTGTCTGTACATCAATACGTCACTGTACGGTGAACTGTCTGTACATCAATACGTCCCTGTACGAGGACCTGTCTACATCAATACGTCACTGTACGAGGACCTGTCTACATCAATACGTCCCTGTACGGTGACCTGTCTACATTAATACGTCACTGTACGAGGACCTGTCTACATCAATACGTCACTGTATGGTAGACGTTATGCTCGGTAGCACCTTGAGAGTTGCCGGGGGTGCCGCGAGATTATCACACGTGTGTTGGGGCAGACCTGGTTAAGAATCCACTTTGATACGATTACACGGATATTACTAAGTGAAATTTACAAGGCTAATATTTCTGGAGCGAAGCCAGGGAGACATGGTAATTGATATCAGTGAAATCGGCTTTGATGTGTGAACGTTTTGCCCAGCTCAGGTGTAGGTTTTAACAAGCTTTCCCCGGAGGGTTTTCATGGACTAAATGCACAAGTGAACACCTTCTATGAATGGATTTAGTGGGTAGAAAATCCTATCTTGTAATCCGCACTCAGCAGAAGGCTGCTTGTATACCGCGAGAAAAGCAGATGGGTGTTACACATACACCGCCGATCAGAGTGTTGAACGGAGATCTTACCCAGAAAGAATCATCACCCCACATAAAGGACAGTTAGGCGCTTGAATAGTTGCATGGTGTCGCCGGTTTGGGGTTCGGGCTGGCTCTCTCTCCCTCTCTCTGTGATGTGTGTATGTGTGATGTGTGTGATATCTGTCAAGGGGCATGTGCCTACCCTAGAACCAGTAATTGCAGGCTGCTACGGAGTTCATTCGTTATTATTTTTGATTTGCATTCATGGTATAGTAGACATTATAGAGTCTGCAATGTTACAGGTGTAAACTTCATGGAATGTTAATTTCAATCGGAATAGCCTGATTCAATCATATGTTCTAGGAAGAGTCCACAAGAGGGATATCGCTGTCAATGGACGGCATCTACATTAAATCTGTTTATTGTCACCATGTCTTGGACATATGGACATTTGGAAATATCGTTCACAAAGGACTCCAAACTTTAGAGTTCTCATGTATGATACTACTATTTTATTATGGTGATTACACTGGAGTTGTTGTACACAGACCGTAGAGGGAGTAGTGTTTTACGCGGCTGTTAGCAGTATTAGATGGAAAATAACGGCTGACAGGAAATGGGCTTCACACATTATACCCATGTATAGATTCGAATGAACCCTTTCATCGCTAGGCTACAACACCGCACCAAAGAACTAAGAAATGCTACTAGAACACAGGGTTCTTGATGCACTAAAGACAATACATGGATCTGTCAGAGAACCGAGTCATTTTATAATATGCAATGAAACTAACTGAGCGATCAGCGCTCAACTCACAGATTGTCTAATCTCGGAACATGTACTGTAAGGAAAGGCCGGTTATCGTTCAGATCTGCTTCCCGTAAATGTGTCTCCGGTTCCTTCAACAAGGCCCTCCAATCTACCCAGAATTCCATGTTGTTCCACATCTCCTGTTTTACACGCCGGGATTATGTGGATGACTCTGTGAGGTACAGATATTCAGGATGCTAGTGTTAGTGTTTATCAGAGTACACACTGATAGGTGATGTCGTGATGGTTACAGCATACAATACTAGCTAACGTATGTACATGATTGTCGTTCTGAAACTTGTCTAGGAACTGTACTGGAGATGTCATCAGACACAATCCAGATTTTCCTTCACAGAAAAAACAAACTATCGTCCAGATTCCATGTATCTTGAAGAAATCGTCGCCTGGAAACCAGTGTATTGTATGTCCACTTTCGGAGAGAACTGAGTTAGCTCAGGGTCTGGTTTACTGAATTATTCATATTCAACTGCATATCTCCATGCAGAATGTCACCGTGATATATAGCCTAGAAAGTGGTTTTACATTGTTTTATATCCATAAAATAACACAAATTGTTTGTTCCAGAGTATTTCAAATGGTTATTGGACCAATCAGCAAATCCAGTTTGATCACGTGACATGGAGATGGAACAGTCTGGAGGTTATTATCATCACTATAGACATACAAACAGAACACTGGAACATTGCCCTTATTTGGGATATAGTTAATGTACTTCGTAAGCTATGAAACTAAAACAAGTTAAAACAATACAAATACAACCTGGTACGGGAGACATCGTACAATAATCAGACATCGTACAATAATCAGACATCGTACAATAATCAGACATCGTACAATAATGATTCGGCTGCATTTCTGACGCATAGCACACTCTGGTCCTGAACAAAATTACAAATCTATTTTGCCGAGTGTTCTATCTCCAAGCGTTTTTCTTATTTATTTCAAGAGCTTTAACATATTGTTTGTTATTTTCCAAGTCGTTTTGATATAACACATGCATGTGCACAAATCCAAAGAATTTGATTGAATACTTTTGAAAATCGTGTTGCTCTAAACTTCAAGATCTATTTTCTCGAAAATAGATTTTTAGGACCAAGAACACTCTGGTTTTCAGGCGACGAAATGTCAGAAGCTGTGGTCGGCGGTTTTAAAAATCAATTCTGTTCCCGTTAAGTCTGCAAATAATTTCTTCTTGGGTATAGCTCCCCACAATAGTTCGTTAAACGAATCTGCTGAGTATCCTAAGATACACCTGGAGATGACTTCAACAGTCCCCTCGAACACTTGCAGCCTGGTATGAGACCAGCTGGCGGCTAGGACCAGATTTACTTGTTACATTACAGAACATGAAACTTATGTAAGACAACATATGATGGACGTCAACTTCTTCTTTATTGTAAACACAGCGTTGTTCTCATGTATGATCCTACTATTTTATTATGGTGATTACACTGGAGTTGTTGTACACAGACCGTAGAGGGAGTAGTGTTTTACGCGGCTGTAAGCAGTATTAGATGGAAAATAACGGCTGACAGGAAATGGGCTTCACACATTATACCCATGTATAGATTCGAATGAACCCTTTTATCGCTAGGCTACAACTCCGCACCAAAGAACTAAGAAATGCTACTAGAACAAAGGGTTCTTGATGCATTAAAGACAATTCGTGGATCTGTCAGACTACTGTCTACACACGTTGTGTATACAATATAGAAGAAGTTTACATCCATAATATTTTGTCTTATACTTTAATACCAACTTCTATATGCCTCTCAAGAACCTCATGAAACATATGTTTGATACGTAATTTCACTGAACTCAAGGTCGACATTCCCGGCTGCTGACCAGTCTTCCATGTGTAACCATTCATCGCAGTGTGAAATACACACTTTGTCAAGTATATGAAGAAAATATTGTAAAATGTTACGGATAACGCTGGCATGTAAAACTGACGGCCATCTTTTGTAGAAGACTAACGGATCAGTGTGCATGTGTGTTCCACAGACTAAAATGGTCTTGTCAACAAATCAGAGGGTATGTGTGTTCCACAGACTAAAATTGTCTTGTCAACAGATCAGAGGGTATGTGTGTTCCACAGACTAAAATTGTCTTGTCAACAGATCAGAGGGTATGAGTGTTCCACAGACTAACATGGTCTTTATCAACGGATGACTGTGCTACAATACAGACGACAACACTCCTGTCAACAAACTAAAATGCTTGATTGTAACATTATGAACATGGCGCAAATGTTTGATACAGGTGGATAATTGCTGACTGCGTCATTAAGCCCATTGGGAAGACCTTAGTGACCAGTGTGGTCCTGTCTACAGCTGCTCGGACGTCCATGTTCAGCAGCATCACGTCAGGCATTAGAACAACACAAAGACAATACATATATATTTGTAAAAATAATTTATTCATAATACCCCACGTCAAGGCACTATGTGATGGTGTATATTGTTTATGTACAAAACATATCTTAACACGAAAAACAAACAAGTGAAAACATCAGCACTCTGAACAGCGGCGCTGTGATGGTCATACTTCATGTCCAAGATGTCAGACATTCCTCCCCTGCAGTGTTGCGTACACTGGTCTGTCAAACGGTCAAACACAGTTACCCGGAAGTGGTGCCTTCAAAATAACACTGGTCTGTCAAACATAGTTCCTCCTAATTATATCACGTCTCTCCTCGGGTAAGCATACTTTTTGTACGCTTTAGCCCATCTTCAGTTGAAGCAAATACACTGATTGTAAATTGTCTGGCAATATACCGACGGGCATTTATCGGCACTGGGTCCATAACCTCACATGTGAATCAAATGTCTATGTTGAATCAAAGGTCATAAACTCACATTCTCTGCGTTGAATCAAATGTCATAACCTCACATTCTCTGCGTTGAATCAAATGTCATAACCTCACATTCTCTGTACCTGACTGAAAGTCTGTAAGGTCAGATTCTCGGTACTGCATCAAGTGTTTTAGTCGTATGTGTATAGAACTTGCCAGCAGATGACACAATGGGCGTCATAACGGTATGTCCCGGGGGGTACGGATACACGGAGCACCCACAGGACATAGACGTGCAGGGTGGTGACTGGACAGGGGGGTGCACCATGGTCCCCGGGGTGATGTGATGGTGAGGGTATGGAAACCCAGAGGGTGGGGATGCAGTAGGTACCGGTGGAATATGTGCAGCAGGATGGCCTGGGGCACGGCGGGGGTGACCGGAACGGTAAATGTCATCAATCAGCGTCTTCATCTCCTCTACAGACTTGGTCAGCATTGTAATGTAGTTCTTGGCGAGGGTCAGTGTGGCTATCTTTGACAGCTTCCGGACGGCGGGTCCACGGGCGTACGGCATGACATCCCGCAAACCTTCCATGGCGGAGTTCAAGTCATGCATGCGTTTCCGTTCTCTTTCGTTGATCTTTGAACGGAGTTCCTTCAGCTCGCCACTACTGAGACCACGGAGGGAGTAGTTAGCTTTACTCTGAGGACATCCATCGTCGCTCCTGTCGTCACCAGCGGAGAGGCAGTCGTCCTCGCCGATGATGTCGATGTACTCCCTCCCGTCATCTTCCTGATCCGAGTTGTGGTTGTGCGTTTCCGACGACATGTTTTTAAAGACAGGTATGTCCCTGCAGTTCTCCACTCTCAGAACTAAATGTCCATTAGTGTCTAGCACTGGCAAGTGTTACTTCTTGAAGGTCTTCTGAACAGACTCAACTGTCACTCAGCTCCTGACCTTCTTAACGTTCACTGGCAGTAATTGCGACGTCGGCAGTAGCCCAGTTTGTCCAGATGATGTGATCTGTGCGGTGGTAGCGGCAATACTGAAGTTGTAGCTTTCGCACTGACGTTTGTACTTGGGGCTGCACCCCGGGGGCAGGGGGAGGGGCAAGTCACCTGGAATAAAGGTGTTAGAAGGACAATGGGCGACACATCAGCCGTTACTAATACATTTTCTGTGCCGAGCAGGCGGCCAACGAACAACAGAAGACTGGTTCTGCCAATCAGTTGCGCCACGCTGGTTGGTCGCAGTGTGACGAGATTACTAAGAGGGCGGAGCGTGTTCAGTGACAGACAGTTACCAATTACCGGGCGACATTAAGTAACTGATAATTAACAATAACTGAATCTACGTAAAGGGGTGTGTTCCTTTTTATGGAACTTCACTTACTTTTTCTCTATCGCCATGCTGCTGCTGCAGAAATGATTTTACCCAAACACGTTGTGCATTAGATACTAAGAACTTCCCTACCTCTCCTACTTGGTCACACCTGTGTCATTAGTCTGGGCTGTACGGCACGTGCTTGCTATTTCTTCATCATTAGTTGTGTTCTCACCACTGGCTGATTGTACAGCTGATTGTACAGCTGATATTACACTACATGGTCCTACTGACCGCTGTCTTTCTGCACGGAAAACATGATTTACAGGCATGGTCTCGCACATATTACCTGATGCTGAAAACAACTATGATGTCCTTAGCTGTAAACACTAGCACCAGTACCGTGATGTCCTTAGCTGTAAACACTCGCACCTGTACCGTGATGTCCTTAGCTGCAAACGCTAGCACCTATACCGTGATGTCCTTAGCTGTAAACACTAGCACCTATACCGCGATGTCCTTTGCTGTAAACACTAGCACCTGTTCCGTGATGTCATAAGATGTAAACACTCGCACCTGTTCCGTGATGTCCTAAGGTGCAAAGGCTAACACTGCACAGCGATTTGCACTCAAAATAAGTACAAACACAAAAGCCAAACTTGAAATGTTTTACTGTTTTCAATTACAAACCTTTTAATTTTACTTTCGCTGACACAAATCGATACTGATCATGGTTATACCCACATGGCCTACATAAGGACAATACTGACTGCCCTGCCAAGTTGTAGATATATTTCATTCGGGCATTATGTTTGTATTTGACAATAGTCTTTATGGTCTTAAAAAGACCTTTTTGTGCTCACGTGTTTACATATATCCAAAGGGTTCATCATGGTATTCCCAGGTTAATGCAGACAGAGATTATGAAAGTGGTATATTTTTTCTACTAGAGAAGCTTTGTGATTTCCTTATGAAATATGATGATGTTTCTTTCTTTATCGGTGGTGATTTTAATGCATGAACTGGAGTCTAAGATGATTTTATAGAAGATGATATGTTTGAATATGTAGAGAATGATGAACGTTGCCTGTCGGATTTTCTTCTAGATAACTTCTCTCTGAGGAGATACTCAGTTGATACCTATGTGAATATGTTTGGTAAATGTGTGTTGAACATGTGTTCAATGCTAAATATCTATATAATGAATGGTAGATGTGGTGGTGATCAGGTGTTAAATGTTACATATCCATATTATGAATGGTAGATGTGGTGGTGATCAGGTGTTAAATGTTAAATATCCATATAATGAATGGTAGATGTGGTGGTGATCAGGGTCTGGAGTTTCATTCATTGGACATAATGGGGCCAGTACAACTGACTTTGTTGTATGCTCCCCCGCCATATTTTCCTTTTGTAAACATTTTGATGTATATTCACGCAAAGAACCATCACACCTGCCGCTCAGTGTGGATTTACGTACGATTCGTAAAACTGAGTGTCATGGAGATACGGAACACAGAGCGTCATGGAGATACGGAACACAGAGCGTCATGGAGATACGGAACACTGAGTGTCATGGAGATACTGAACACTGAGTGTCATGGAGATACGGAACACGGAGCGTCATGGAGATACGGAACACAGAGTGTCTTGGACATACGGAACACTGAGTGTCATGGAGATACGGAACACTGAGTGTCATGGAGATACGGAACACTGAGTATCATAGAGATACGGAACACTGAGTGGCTTGGAGATACGGAACACTGAGTGTCATGGAGATACGGAACACTGAGTGGCATAGAGATATGGAACACTGAGTGTCATGGAGATACGGAACACTGAGTGTCATGGAGATACGGAACACTGAGTGTCATAGAGATACGGAACACTGAGTGTCATGGAGATACGGAACACTGAGTGTCATAGAGATACGGAACACTAAGTGGGAACACTGAGTATCATAGAGATACGGAACACTGAGTGTCATGGAGATACGGAACACTGAGTGTCATGGAGATACGGAACACTGAGTGTCATGGAGATACGGAACACTGAGTGGGAACACTGAGTGTCATAGAGATACGGAACACTGAGTGTCATGGAGATACGGAACACTGAGTGTCATCGGAACACTGAGTGTCATGGAGATACGGAACACTGAGTGTCATAGAGATACGGAACACTGAGTGTCATGGAGATACGGAACACTGAGTGTCATGGAGATACGGAACACTGAGTGTCATGTCATGGATACGGAACACTGAGTGTCATGGAGATACGGAACACTGAGTGTCATGGAGATACGGAACACTGAGTGTCATGGAGATACGGAACACTGAGTGTCATAGAGATACGGAACACTGAGTGTCATAGAGATACGGAACACTGAGTGTCATGGAGATACGGAACACTGAGTGTCATGGAGATACGGAACACTGAGTGTCATGGAGATATGGAACACTGAGTGTCATGGAGATACACTGAACACTGAGTGTCATGGAGATACGGAACACTGAGTGTCATGGAGATACGGAACACTGAGTGTCATGGAGATACGGAACACTGAGTGTCATGGAGATACGGAACACTGAGTGTCATGGAGATACGGAACACTGAGTGTCATGGAGATACGGAAACACATAGAGATACGGAACACTGAGAGTCATAGAGATACGGAACACTGAGTGTCATAGAGATACGGAACACTGAGTGTCATGGAGATACGGAACACTGAGTGTCATAGAGATACGGAACACTGAGTGTCATAGAGATACGGAACACTGAGTGGGAACACTGAGTGTCATGGAGATACGGAACACTGAGTGTCATAGAGTCATGGAGATACGGAACACTGAGTGTCATGGAGATACGGAACACTGAGTGTCATGGAGATACGGAACACTGAGTGTCATGGAGATACACTGGAACACTGAGTGTCATGGAGATACGGAACACTGAGTGTCATGGAGATACGGAACACGGAACACTGAGTGTCATGGAGATACGGAACACTGAGTGTCATGGAGATACAGGACACTGAGTGTCATGGAGATACGGAACACTGAGTGTCATGGAGATACGGAACACTGAGTGTCATAGAGATATCGAACACTGAGTGGGAACACTGAGTGTCATGGAAATACGGAACACTGAGTGTCATGGAGATATGGAACACTGAGTGTCATGGAGATACGGAACATTGAGTGGGAACACTGAGTGTCATGGAGATACGGAACACTGAGTGTCATGGAGATACGGAACACTGAGTGTCATGGAGATACGGAACACTGAGTGTCATGGAGATACGGAACACTGAGTGGCATAGAGATATGGAACACTGATGTGGGAACACTGAGTGTCATGGAGATACGGAACCCTAAGTGGGAACACTGAGTGTCATGGAGATACGGAACACTGAGTGTCATAGAGATACAGAACACTGAGTGTCATGGAGATACGGAACACTGAGTGTCATGGAGATACGGAACACTGAGTGTCATGGAGATACGGAACACTGAGTGTCATAGAGATACGGAACACTGAGTGTCATAGAGATACGGAACACTGAGTGTCATGGAGACTGATACGGAACACTGAGTGTCATGGAGATACGGAACACTGAGTGTCATGGAGATACGGAACACTGAGTGTCATGGAGATACGGAACACTGAGTGTCATAGAGATACGGAACACTGAGTGTCATGGAGATACGGAACACTGAGTGTCATAGACTGAACACTGTCATGGAGATACGGAACACTGAGTGTCAGTGTCAGAGAAACACTGAGGTCATAGGAGATACGGAACACTGAGTGTCATGGAGATACGGAACACTGAGTGTCATGGAGATACGGAACACTGAGTGTCATGGAGATACGGAACACTGAGTGTCATGGAGATACGGAACACTGAGTGTCATGGAGATACGGAACACTGAGTGTCATGGAGATACGGAACACTGAGTGTCATGGAGATACGGAACACTGAGTGTCATGGAGATACGGAACACTGAGTGTCATAGAGATACGGAACACTGAGTGGGAACACTGAGTGTCATGGAGATACGGAACACTGAGTGTCATGGAGATACGGAACACTGAGATGGGAACACTGAGTGTCATGGAGATATGGAACACTGAGTGTCATGGAGATACGGAACACTGACATAAGATACGGAACACTGAGAGTGTCATGGAGATACGGAACACTGAGTGTCATATAGATACGGAACACTGAGCTGTCATGGAGATACGGAACACTGAGTGTCATGGAGATACGGAACACTGAGTGTGTCATGGAGATATGGAACACTGAGGTGTCTGGAGTACGGAACACTGAGTGTCATGGAGATACGGAACACTGAGTGTCATGGAGATACGGAACACTGAGTGTCATGGAGATACGGAACACTGAGTGTGTCATAGAGATACGGAACACTGAGTGTCATAGGAGATACGGAACACTGAGTGTCATGGAGATACGGAACACTGAGTGTCATGGA